CAAGGAATATGGCGGAGAAACAAATAAGAACCACCGCACCTACTGTAGAAAACAAAAAACTATTCCTCACAGTCCCTTTCCGAGGGGACGCAGCAATTGAACTGCTGAAGCGACGCTTTGACCAAGCCGTTTCAAGAAACTTCCCAGCAGCCAGAGTTCAGGTATTATTCTCAAACAACCCAATCTTACATGGGGAAGGTAAGTATATGTTACCAGCTCAGACCACCTCAATGTGCATCTACTCTTTCACTTGTTCCTGTGGAGCAGGTTATATTGGTCGCAAGAGCCGGCGCCTATCCAAAAGAAAAGAATAAAGGAACACCTCCCGGCATGGCTGAGAAAAGGTGAAGTCAGAAGCATAAACAGCTCTATTCTGACGCACATGGTCGATTCCGGACATCGGGTGGACCCCAAGGAGGCTTTCCAAGTGATCTACAGGGTCCCACCAAATTATCCGAAGCCCCTGGGTCAGCGCCTGCTAGCAACAGCAGAAGCGAACGCTATTAGGCTGATGAAGCCCGCTTTGTGCGCAAAAAAGAACTTCCTGCAAGCCTCACAGTTGGTATGGCCCACAGTCACTTAGCGGCATGCAGTCATCCACGCTATGTCTGTCTCCCTCCCCCCGTCCCCCTCCGCCCTCCACTAGACTGCTCCATCAAACCCTAACCTTACAACCAGCCTTCGCTTATCGACCCTCACCCCCATTCCCACTACTCATTTGTCCGAAAATACGAACCCGTTTAAACTCACACTCAGTTTCCATATAAATGTAAGGCCTAACGAGAATTTGTCGAAAGTACACGTATGCTCGCCAAACTGGACTTCTGAAATCCAATAACGTGTCTACGCCCGTAGCACCGCATACAACACGACAGTTCGACCGCAGCTCGCAACGATGTCTACCACGAGCTTCAGCAGGCTGAAGCAACGCGGTGAAAGCAAACTCGCCGGATATATATCCCACCTTGGTAGGTAGGTTCCCGCCTGGGAGCACCAAAAAGACCACATTAAAGGGGAGCCAATGAGCCTGACGCTCAGCCCGCAGTAAGACAGCGAAAGCAGGCTCGCGGCGAGTCTATCCAACTCTCTCAACACTCCCACACCGGAACTCGGTGTCAAGACAGAAGTCAAGAAGGCAGGAGATGGCTGGCTCGACCAACACTCAGCACGTCTCGCTAGGTAGGTTCCCGACTGGGAGCGCCATAAAGGTCACATTAAGAAAGAGTCATTGAGCCTGTCTCTCAGCCCGCAGTAAGCCATTCCACATTACAAGACAAACACTGGGCTGACTGCGGTGTCCAAGTTATCTCGTCAGTTGGCGACCCCCCGCCCCAAGCCACTGCTTGTTGCGCACCGTGATAGTTTAAAGCGCATCAAATTGTTTTTAGTGAGGAAAGAAATGTGCTGAGGGTCGATCTCATTCTCTTCCCCACCGCCAGCAACAGGCTACCGCCTAGCTGATGGGTCGCCTGAGATGGAATGGGTACAGAGGTCGTGTTGCAGCATAGCAGGGTATTAGGAAAACCCTGTAATACCGGTGATGGAAAGAAGGGTGACTGAATTACGGTTTTTAATTGCCGCATAAATTAATCGCTACCTTAGAGTAAATCAGTCCTAAGTAAGCTTCATAGACACAAACCGAAAGTTGATATGCATATTGAGGCTGGAGCCCATTAACCTCAGCGGGATACCTGCATAATATCCATCAAACTGACAACAATTAGCCAATTGAGGTTGCACAAGATGCACTTTACTGACATCCGCAGGCCACTAAAATCCACGTTTTCTACAGCCTGCCCTCGTGTTTCCCAACAGTGGATCCTCAGGACGCCTTCAGGAAGGTGGTAGGAGCAAAAAGCCCATCAACACTTCAGGCAATTTTATGATTGGCTACTTACTTCACCAATACGCGTCGCAAAGTGGAATGTAGGCTGACGCAGGCCGACTTCGCTGGATAGGACGTCAAAGGTGCGTATGTGTGTCTTACTAGGTATTGACGCTCGTTAGCCAGGTGTGGAGCTGTACTGCAACCACCCAAAAAGTCAGGATGTTCGGCACTGCTGTCGTAAATCATTACAGTCGACGGTCTATAGACGCAGACCCGAAATTGATATGAATATCTCGGTCAAAACCCATCAGCCACGGTGGGATACCTGCGTTATATTCAGTAAACCGACAACAGGCAGCCGGCAGTGTATACTGGGGTTACATGATATTCCATACAGGCAGCCCGGGTACTAGTTAAATGCCCTGACGCGTGTTTCCATGATAATTTGCTGCTGCTTGACAAAACTGCGAGGGGTTCGGCCCATCAGCTTTCCTACTGTGCCTTCCGGAGTCCCGGCTCTTTTACTTCCTCAGAAATTGATA